GGCAGCAGAGAAATTACAGCTTTGATTAGAACAGATCTAGGCTTACTCTGCATGACACAATGCTGTTGACTGAGCAGCTCAAACTGAGCTAGAACTTGAGTCTGATGTTTGTTTGAAATTTGCTGGGAATTCCAACTGGTCAATCAGATGCTACAAAATTCTGCTTCAAAATCTGCACTCTGAGTTTACCCTCTGATTATGATTCCTGCTGGTTTTATACACATTAAGCAGCTTTGAAATTTTGAATGAGCTACAGGAACTCCAAATGGCTCAGTTTTCTGTCTTTCTTTCTTCTTTCTTTCTATCTTTCTTTCTTTCTTTCTTTTTTTTGGTCGGTCGTGGGACTTGAACTCTGGGCTTGGGCGCTGTCCCTCAGCTCTTCAGCTCAAGGCAAGCACTCTTATCACTTGAGCCACAGCACAACTTCCGGTTTTCTAGTGGTTTTTTGGAGATAAGAGTCTCATGGACTTTCATGCCTGGGCTGGCTTTGTCAGATCTCAGCCTCCTCAGTAGCTAGGATTACAGGCATGAGCCACCGGTGCCTGGCTGGCTCAGTTTTCTTGTTGGGAAAGGAAGAGAAAGTTCATGTTGATCCTGGGAGCATTTGATGAGGCCTAAGGGTTCGAATATGCAAGACACTTTACATAATACCTGCCACATCATAGACACAATTTTAGTAGCTCCACTTACTAACTTGAGGATGAGGACCTTACACATCAATTAAAGGGGGCCTTCTGCATCTGTGGGTTTCTCACCCACAGATTCAACCAGCTAGGGATTGAAAAGTATTTGAAAGGAATTCCATCTGGACTGAAAGTGTACAGGTTCTTTGCTTGCCATCATTCATTCCTTCAACTGTACAGTATAACAGCTACCTACACAGCACTCATGTTATATTGGACATCCATTGGGAATCGAGCAAAGGTGTAGAGAACATGGTGGAATTGAAACCCTTGCTACAACTTCTTAAAGATAATTAAGAATAATGAATAAGTAAAGTATGTGGAGGATGTGTGCAGATGCTTTGCTATTATAGAGAAGGCACTTGAGCATCATGAGATTTTGATAACGCATGCAGGATCCTGGATCCATTTCTCCACAGATCCTAAGGCACTGCACTATGGTTTTCTTTTTCCTCCTTTTCAAAATTGTTACCATAAAGCTGATGGACAGATGAGTTACGGTTACATGGGTCAGGTGATGAGTACATTTCTTTTGGGACATTGTCACCCCTTCCTTTGCTCTTTCCCAGTTTTTCCCTTCCATCCCCATCCACAGGTTGTATAGTTCATTTTTAACATAGTGTCTAGTGAGTACCACTGCCCCATTTGTTCACCTTTTGTCCTTCTATTTCTGTACTCTCCACTTACCCTCCCAAATGAAGAAACAAGACAAAAAGAAAAGAAAACAAAAAAGCAACAAAATACCTCTTGTTTCATTTTCTAGAGGTCACATCGATAAATATGATTTTATATGATCAGATATACATAGGCATTGTGCCTTTGAGTTCCTCTCCCCTAAGAATATCCTCCTTTGCTCTTGCTGTATGTGAATGTTTACAGTCCTGTAGCTATGTTGGTTTTTAACTGGAAGGATCTGTGGAGAACAGTTGTAACTTCTTTGATCACCCAGGTGCCCAAGGATGGGTGTGATTGATGCAAGGTGTCTTCACTGGGATTGTAAATGCTAAACTCAAACAAGTTTGATGGTGCCTGAGCCATGGGGATTTTACATGGTCATCTTCATCTACCTAGTGTTTAAGAGAGTTGTTGGAATTAGATTCAGAGAAATTAATTTTTCTCCCCTTATTTCCGTGTGTATTTATTTTGGGATTACATTGATAAATCGATAGTAGCAGTAGGTCTGAAATAAATGTCACGGTTTTCTCTTTTATGTCTGACGCCCTTTCCTTTACTGGCTGGCCTGTGCTTCAGGATGGCTCGTATTGATTAGCTGATGTCAAATAAACTTTTGTTGGTCTATGAAAGTCCAATGTTGGCAGTGCCAAAATAAAATAAATGCATCTGGCTTGTCATACTGGTAGGAAGGGAAAACGTAGGAACAGGAGATGGATGGTTGAAATGCATTGTCTACAGAAGTCCTGTGTACTTGTTCACAGACAAGTAGGGAGGGCCGGGAGCTGGTGAACTTGGTTTCCTCGTCAGTCATGTGGATACCACAAGAGGACCAGGTGGCTGCGTTATTCTGACACTTCACACATGTCAGGTTCTCTGCAGTGGAAGCCCTCAGAAAGGCAACTTTTCTTTTTCTTTTTTTTTTTTTTGGTCCGGTCGTGGGGCCTGAACTCTGGGCCTGGGTGCTGTCCCTCAGCTCTTCAGCTCCAGGCTAGCGTTCTACCACTTGAGCCACAGAGCCACTTCCGGCTTTTTTCTTTTTGCTTATATGGTGCTGGGGAACTGAACCCAGGGCCTCAGACATGCAAGGCAAGCGCTCTACCACTGAGCCACCTTCCCAGCCCAGAAAGGCAACTTTTCTATGTCACTTAGGTTGATGAAAATCTCATGCCTCCAAGATCCAGTGTGTATACAATGGGAGAAATTCCACTAAACTCTACAAAATCACTCTGCCTAGGAGATCATTTAAGTACAAATGGCTCTTGTGGTGAATTCTCTGGTTGTCCATTTCCAATCATGGATATTGTTTCCCCTGTTACCGCTATAGTATAGGAGTTGGTCCTTCACCACAGTGAATGAGGCATGTCACACCTAGCTGAACCATACTGTGTGACACACTGTATGTGACACACCATATGATTTATGCGCTCTCTCTCTCTCTCCCTCTCTCTCTCTCTCTCTCTCACACACACACACACACACACACACATTGGTCATAGTATTTGAGTATTCTAAAAACTTTCCAACATTTTAATAAATGATTGAGGAGGAAATGTTAAAATGTAACATATTGGACTCAGTACTTTGGTGCTGTTTGGATGTGGTGAACTTGTGTGGTTTTAAAGCAGGAGCTGTGGCCTGGAGCTGTCATTTATCAGCTCATAAGCAAGTTTTCAAATCAGCTTTAGGAAAATAGTTTAGATGTACACTTTAATAATATAGCAAAGTGTGGGTGGTTTGAACCTTACATAAGAAGGCCTTCCTGTACACAAATAAGAAAAAAAAATGCTGTTAGACTAGAATTTATCCCAGCATAAAAGAAAAGGAGGTGGGGAGGGAGGAAAGGAGTGAGAAGAACTCAAAGTGATTATTAAAAATGTAATAAAGAGTCAAAATGAAAATATGCAACTTTTCAAGATTGTGAGGTGAAAGCAGTAGTCATTAATAATCGTTGAACAGTTTAAAAATATTTTTACACTGACAGATATCATGTGTGATATTCTCATGTATAGTATATGTTGAAATAAATAAACATTGTGGAATAGTTAAATCTACTTAATTAACACATGCTTAATCACACATAGCTATTATTTTTGTAGTGAAATTCGATACCTCCCCACCCCCAGCTCCTATTCAGCATAGAGCTAGAATTACAAGTCAGAGCAATTAGACAAAAGAAAGAAATGACAGTCATATATACAGGAAAGAAGGAAGTCAAGTTATTTGTAGATGATGCACTTTTATGTACAGAAAAATCCTAATGATGTCACCAAATAAATGGTGAGAACTACTAGATAAATTCAGCAAACTTAGATACAAGTCCAATATGATAAAGCACTGAAACAAGGACACAGGATGACCCATTGCAACCATGATAACCACAATACAGTATATTGGAAATGAACTTTACAACTTTGGGGGGAGGGGAGGAGTGAGGGAGTTGGGAGAGGGAAGGGATAGTGGGAGAACAACAAGGGAGAGGGTAACAATGCTCGACAAGAAATGTACTCATTGCCTTACTCATATCAGTGTAACCCCTCTGTACAGCATCTGTACACGAAAATAAAATTGGAAAAATGTGTAGCATCTCTACCTACAGTCCTCAACAACAAATTGCCTTTGACTCTGTGCAACACTGAGAATTGAACCAGTGCCTTGGGCATGCTAGGCACGCTCTTCTACCACTAGGCTACATCCTCAGCCTTTGTTCTGCTGGCACAGGTTGTCATGATATGGAGCTCCCCATCCGTCTGCCTCAGTCTCCCACATGCTGGGCTTACAGGAATATACCACAGCACCCCACTTGGATGTTCTTTTCATGTGTTCAACAGGAAAAAAAACCAAAATGGAAAACATGACTTCCTCTCAATCATTCACTGTTCAGATCTGCATTTTCAGTCCAGTGTTTGGTGTGACTGGTTTTGATGTGTCCAGGCAGAGAGCTGTTTTTTGCCCGAAGAGCTATCATAGTGTTCATTGATCAATTAATGTCATACATACACAAATATTTGTCTGAGCCAGGCCTGCTCTTTGGTTAGGCACATTGGTAACATTGGGCCATATGTGGAGTCCATCATGCCAGACACAATCCTCAGAAACATGCTAGTGTCAGCAGACTACACAGGTCAGACATGAGCCCAGCGCCTGTAGAGGCCTGGGGACTGTGTCTCCAAGACAGTTTACAAAGCCGATGGATAGGCGTGGCCAGACCGACCTTCATGCATAAGCCGATGGGTCAGATCCGGGAGTAATGGCTCCCTTCAGTCAGCTCCTGAAATGGATGCAGAGTCACTCCAGCCCAGATATTTCTCGCCCTGTGCCACTGGCTTCACTTCAATGCAACTGCCGGAGATTGAACTTGCGTGTTATTTTCTTTTCCTTGAAATGTGACGTGACTAAGGATGATCCTGTGTTTCGATCTTTAACTGGGTTTCCAGCCCTGGGTTATAAAAAGTGATTTAGCTGAGCCCATAGAGCTTGAAGAAGTTCCTCCGCCCATCCCAATAGGTTGACATAGTTGGTCATTGGGAACTTAACCTTCAGTCTTGAGGTAGGCAAGGTGCACCTCCACTGTCTTTCCCCCTGCTGTGATTGGCAAAGTCTGCTGAAGAATTAACCTCACCTAGTACTTGATTTTTATTGCAGAATCATGTCAACCCTGCCATGGACTTCACCCAGACTCCTCCTGGGATGCTGGCTCTTGACAACATGCTGTACTTCGCCAAACATCACCAAGATGCGTATATTCGGGTAAGCAAGATTAGAATTCTAATCTCACACCTACAGGTACAGAGGTATTTGCTTTAGATGTGCAACTCCAGAGTTTTTGCCCCCATCCAACTAAAAAAAATTTAAATTTACCATAATTGTTCTGGTAGTATGTAATAGGGATTTTTTTTAACTTTTGGATTTCTCCCTTCAGTGATGTTTAGAAAATTTTGTTAATATCAGGAAAATCTTTTCGATAGATTGCTATTGAGTTATGAAGAAAAAGGACATTTTAAATAACCAGGAAAAGAAACGAAGTGTTTACCAAAAATGTGCACAACCTTGGATTTCATGGAGAGCTCTTTAGACATATTAAAGTTAGAAAGAAGGCTCCAGTTCTTTCTAGCATGATGTATTCTTCTATGTCTCGTGCTAAAAATGCAACCAAGTAAATAAAAAGCAAGAGGAAAATGGGAGAGGTGGGACGAGAGAAACTTCCCATATTTCCTAGCAGAGTAGTCACGCTCACTGACCAAGTTGTCTTAGCGGTGTGGGGCAGGAGAAAGGGGAGGCCATTGCTGCTCCTGTGAAATAGCAGATCCTTCCTATGGACTGGGTGGCCCCCTGTGGGGAGGGCAAAGCCTGAGTGTGGAGCCTCGGGTGCCAGTGACATAGAAGGCTTGTCCAGCAGGTGGCACAGCTGGGAGCCTGAGATTCATGATGCTGCCTCTTCTCTGCCTTCTGGGAGAAGAGCCAGAATGCAGAATGGATCCAAGGGAGATCCGGGAGGGGGATACACAGATGGAACAAGGGCACTGCCTCATGGACGAGCTACCCTCATAATTATGTAGAAATGTAGGAAGCATTTGATGAATGCATTGCCCCCAAATTAGAATCTGAGCTCAAAATCAGATTTGATCATTCCAGCATGAACTCCGACATTGTCTCCTGCTCGGTTCTTTGTGGAACTGGCTTCCTAGAGATCAAAGTTTAAGACTTGAACTGTCCCTGACTCATTGCCTCAACCTGGGCAATTCCTCTTGTCTGGAATATTGGGAGACTTGAAGGCTTGAAGCTAGGACCACATTTCCCCAGTGGCATGTTTGAAACTTGGTGGGCATTATTTTTGGTGGGGGGGGGTACCATGTCTAGCAGGGAATTAATGGTTACAATCTGTAATACAGGGGATCACCCTGCAATGTGTGTGTGTGTGTGTGTGTGTGTGTGTGTGTGTGTGTGTGTATCTACCTAAGTAGACAGGTAAACTGACTATATTTTCTCTCTCCCTCCCAGCTTATTCCATTCTACAAGTTATCATTGTGTGTAGCTGAATTGTGTGCTATTGCCAGTAGCATGTCTAATTTTACTAGCAAAATTGAAGTTCAAACCTACAAGGGACTTGCTGTGGTGAGGCTACAGTTAGCCGCATGGTAAGGCAAGGTCCCCCTGTCCATGTGTTCTCCCATGCACCTGGGTCCTGCCTGTTCTCAGATATTCTCTTCTTCCTAGTCCTCACAGCACCTGTGATTGCCCACAGCTGGCCCAATGGAAGAAGGGCAGTTTGGCTTTCCTGCGTTTAGTGGCATCTCTCGCCTGACCTGGCTGGTATCCCTGTTGGGTGAGCTTTCTCTGGTGTCTGCCACTTTGGAAGAGCAAGAAGAGGAGCAGTATATGCAAATGACTGTGCACCTAGAGACCAAGGACAGATGGTAACTCCTGAGAAACCTGATGAAAAGGAGACTTCCGGCTGTGTCCATTGTATACAAGGGTGACAACAGAGAAAACCCCAAGGGACACAGCCAGTTGTCCCAGTGCAGCAGAGCTGACAGCTTGCAAAGACTAGAAATTAGTCCCACTTGTGTTGCCTCCATTGTCCAGTAAGTGAATAGTTGCTTACAGAATTGAAGCATGTTGCTGAAGTCTTTACTGTATACTTCTTTATTTGCATACTCAATTTAGAGATTGGCCTCTCACTGCATTTACCAGGAGGATCCTGATGTAGTTGGCTCAAGTGATCCTCATGCCTCAGCCTCCCCAGTAACTGGGACTCTGGGCCTGCACCCCTGCTCCCAGCTCCCTTCATGTAGCTTTACGGATGAGGAAATGGAGGTGTGAGAAATATCTTGCCATTCTGCAATGCCTCATATCTGAAGGCATGATAAACATTCTGAGATAGATCAGACTGTTTATATTACCTAAAGTTTATTTGCATCCAATGACTCTTAGCTATCCTAGCCTGTGAATGCAGTCCTGGCTTCTGATGGTGCCAGGGAAGTGAGTGTTGTGCCTAGGTTGCAGGACCCCCACCAAGAAGACCACCGAGAGTCAACTTTACAGCTGTTTTGAGGTTTTATTTAGGCGGGCTGCAGCTCGGGCCTCATCCTACACTCTGACACAGCGGAGCCTAGGAGGAGAGCCCCAAGTTAAGGATTTGCAGGTCTTATAAAGGCATACAACCAGGTGGGTTAGCACCATGTATTGCTCTGCTCTGAAACGAGCAACAAATGCTCACTGCCTCAAGTACTTTAACCCTTCAGTGAGCATTCGCATGTTTCCAGTTATTTTCTCCCTCCCTCCCAGCTTATCCCATTCTACAAGTTAGAACGAGACACTTCAGCTCAAACATGGCATCTGTCTGGAGCTTCTCACCACACACTAAGAGCTACCGATAACTGTTGTCTTAGGACAGAATTCCTTAAGTTACCTTCAGACAGTGTAGTTGAGTGAATGAGAACACAGGGTGATCATGAAAGTTGCCCATCAAATGCCTAGAAAAGCTGGGGTCATCCTCCAATCCCTGCTGTACAAATGCAGTAGGAGGCAATGTCACAGGAGCACCATGGCCTGACCTTTAAAAAACAAGTAATTGATTTTATTTTATTGTAAAGATGCTGCACAGAGGGGTTACAGTTACATGAGTAAGGTAATGAGTACATTTCTTGTTGAGCATTGTTACCCCCTCCCTTGTTGTTCTCCCACTATCCTTTTCCTCCTCCACCTCCCTCACTCCTCCCCCCACCCTGAAGTTTTAACATTCATTTCCAATATACTGTCTTGTGGGATCATTGTTGCAGTGGGTCCTCTGGTGTCCTTGTTTCAATATTTTGTTATTCCCCTTACCCTCCCCAAAGTAGAGAAATGTATGTACAAGATTCAGGGTACCAAAATCAACAGGGGAAGAACATAGAAAGGAAACCAAAAAATCACATTGTACTTTAAAATTACAACAAAGAAACATCACTTTTGCCCATATCTTGGGGTTCATTTCACTTAACACCATCTTATATGGTCATATGTAAATAGCTTGAGAGGTTTTCTGCTCACCTGATAAAATTATCCTAGCTATATAGTAATTATTGCAAGTGAGGGAAACCATGAGATGTCTTTTTCTTTGGATCTCACTTACTCCACTTAATATGATTTTTCCAGGTCTTTCCGTTTCCTAACAAATGGGGTGGTGACATTCTTTGTAAGCAAAGAATAAAATTCAATTTTATGTACATATATATGTGTGTGTGTGTGCGCACACGTGTGCGTGTGCGTGTGCGTGTGTGTGTGTGTGTGTACCACATTTCCTTAATCCATTGATCTACTGAGGGGCATCTGGGTTGGTTCCATATTTTAGGTATTATGAATAATGCTGCAATAAAGATAGTTGTGCTGGTAGCTTTACTATGGCCTTGTTTGTGATCACTTGGGTAAATGCCCAGAAGTGGGATCCTCATATATTACCCTGCCCCAGAATGGCCTGGCCTTTTCCAGTATTTTCTGACTCAGTCTTTGTACTGATTCACTGAAGGGGCAACTGAGACTCAGCAGGTAAGAGACTTCACAAGGAAGTGGTTAGACTTTCCTTGTCTATAACAAGTGACTGAGAGAAACTGTTTCAAGGAGGAAAGGTGTGTTTTGGCTGGCTTCCAGCCTCTTCAGTCCAGGCTCGGTTGTGATAGGCTTGTGGTGAGTCAGACATCATAGCATCAGGAGTGAGCAATGACAGAGGCTGCTTTCCTCATGCAGCCAAAGCAGGCTTCCAGTACAGGCAGGATGGCCAGACATGCCCCCAGTGGCCTATTGTACTAGGACGGAACTGCTAAGGTTTCAGTACCTCCCCCAGCTAGGTCCACAAGCAAAGGACCAAGTCTACATTTCCTACTCAATCACAAACTGATAGAAGCTCTGCAATTCACCTCAGTTGCCTTTCTTCAGCCCTCACGCTATGTGCATTCTCCCCAGCCATGCTGGAAGCACACAGAAACAAGTACAGACCACCAGTGGTACTGTCTGCACCTTGTCACAGTCCTCACATGCCATAGGGAAGATGTGTTACCTGCACTTACTCCCAAACCCTAGTCCCTCCTAATTCAGTGGCTGTGCTTAAATTTTGTAAAAGTGTGCATTCAGAGTTTGTTCAAGACCAACTCATGTGAATATCCAGTATAGAAGTAGTGACAAAAACACCTGTGTCTAGGTCCTCAGGATGCTGTGGAAGGACGATCTCAGGCCTGTGCTCTGCCTGGTTCTTCAGGACTTGCTCGAAAATGGCCACCTCAGCCATGCCTACAGACAGGTGCTGACATGCTGACACAGGTGTGGATGTGGTTGGACAGCTTCCTGCAAAGAGAAGAATGACCTGTCAGTGCCCTGGTTGGGGAATATTTGCATCTGTAAATATTCCTGAGTGATGCCAAAGAGGAGCCCCTTCAGTGAGCCCAGGCCTGGCTCTGTGGGACTGGATGGCATCAGTTGCCGTACACACTCAGATCATGAATGGACCAGATCCTTCCTTTAGGACAGAATTTACCTAGGAAAATGTTCTCACTACTGCACAGGCACACATCACAGCTCTTCCCTACTATCCGGAGAGAAACAACCCACAGAAAGGGGTCACAATTTGGAGAATTGACGTTTTTCCTACTTGGATTGTAGGTTTTCACGAGCTCTCATGTGAGTTTCAGTGGGAAACAGAATGGAAACAAAGGGGTCTGCTTTGGACCCAAGAGTTGGTATTTTCTGGCATGATTGGGTTGAGAGAGTCATGAGAATGTGAGGAGAAGAACACTAAGAATTCTTCCTCACCAACTGCTCACACTGCGATGAAGAAATTTGCACCAATTGCAGGTGGTACTTGGATTGCCTGTCTTCCCTGTGTGAACCCCCTGGAAGGATCAGTAAAATGCCAGGTAAAAAGTCCTGACCAGCCTGGTACTGGTGGCTTTGCTTCCTTCTGAAATTCTCGCTATCCAGGTGGTTGAGCTCTCAAGACTCCATTTGAACCCTGTGCCTGCAGGGAAGTCCAGGAGACTGTTATTTCCAAATCAACACCAAAAGAGCCATATGTGGAGCTGTATTGAAGTGATAGAGAGCACTAACCTAACCTTCAGTACATAGGCTTAGAGACAGTGCCCAGACCCTGAGATCAAGGCCCAGAATGATCACAGAAGAAAAGGCCTGAATGACAAACTTGTTTCCACAAAAGTTATTGAGTCCATTCTGCTATCCAGGGGCCAAATATGTCAAGAGTAGATGGCAGCAAAGTTGGAAACACAGTTCACAATGGCCTGCAGTGTGATGGACATTTGGATGTCACTGAGTGACCACATTGATCCACCGCTGCAAGGAAGGAAGCTGGGTGCACAGTGAGGCCATGTCTGTAGAAGGTGGGCCAGCCTCCCCACCTGCTCCCCACCATGCGCTGTCTAAAATGAGGCTTACTCTTGTCTTTTTGCAATCTGCTAACCTGGCTTGAGGAGAAAGGGCCTGGCTTCCAGAAAACAGACATTTAAGCTTCCATTTCAAATCTTGATCCCTGGAGAATGTACCAAATAGAGGTGTCACAGAGGTCATTTTCCAGAATGAGCAAGATCTGTTTGTGTAGAAGTTCTCTGGGCAGGTCTCTGAGAAGGGACTGGCTGCAGAAAGGAAGCATGTATTGCACTACCTGGTGCTGGCAGAGGGGGTCTAGAGCTGCTGCTGTTTGGAGAAGTAGGAGAGGAAGCGGTGGGCACCGCCAGCACTGCATCACAGTTGGATGTTCTCAGCTGCTTGCCTCCATTCTTACCATTAAACATGTTGGAGAAAGAGGATGAGGATCTTGTTTTTTTAATCCAGCTAGACAGTCTATGTCACTTAATTGAAGAGTTAAGTCCGTTAATGTTGAGAGATAGGACTGAGAGGTATTTGGGAGTTCCTGCCATGTAATCCACCTTCTTGGGGGCTGCAGCTACTGGGTTCCTCCTATGGTTCTTGGATTCTCAGTTTGGGTGCGGTTTCTTGGCCTTTATTGTGGTCTTGTTGGTTTTCTATGTGTAGGACATCTTTCAGAATTTTTTGTAGGGGTGGTTTGGTGGAGATATATTGTTTCAATTTTTCTTTGCTATGGAAGGTTTTTATTTGGCCTTCAGTTATGAAGGAGAGTTTAGCTGCGTACAGTATTCTTGGTTGATAGTTGTTTGTCTTTAGGGCATGGCATACATCATTCCAGGCTCTTCTTGCTTTGATTGTCTCTGCTAAGAAATCTGAGGTGATTCCAATTGGTTTCCCTTTATAGGTGATTAATCTTTTTTCCTTGACAGCTTTAAGGATCTTTTCCTTGGTCTGAATTGATCCTGTGTGGATTATACTGTGACGGTTGGATGTCCTATACTGGTCTGGTCTATTTGGGGTTCTAAAAGCTTCTTGTATCTGAATAGGCCTATCTTTTTGCATGTTTGGGAAGTTCTCTGCTAGGATCCTGTTAAACAAATTTCCTAGACCATTAACTTCTGTTTCTAGATGCTCCTCTACACCCATTATCCTCAATTAGGCCTTCTGATGGTGTCTTCCAAGTGTTGGATAGATCTATCATATTTCTTGGACTTGTCTTGGATGGTTGTATGTTCTTTCTCTATAATATTAGGCTGTCTTCAATCCCCGAGATTCGATCTTCTGCATGGTTTAACCTGCTGTCAAGACTTTCTACTTTGTTTTTTATTTCTTTTCCTTCTAATTGGTCAGCTTTGATGGCTTCAAATTCTTTGTTGAAGCTTTGTTTTAGATCTTGTATGAGCTTCTTTATTTCCTTAATTTGGTGTTCAAATCACTTAGTTGTTCTCAAATCACTTAGTTGATTGGTTATGGTTTCCTTGGACTCCCATTCCTTCTGTTGGGTTCCATTCAGCATTCCCTTTGTGGTCTCCCTGACTTCCTTCAGCTCTTTGTTAGTGGATTCCATGAATGCCTTTAGTGTTCTTTGTGTATTCTCATCCTGCTCTCTCAATTCCTGTATTACTCTTTGCTTAGCTTCCTCACGTTCAGGCCATTTCTGTAGTTCTCTTTGAGTGTTCTCAGCCTGCTCACGCCATTCCTGCCTTTCTCTTTGAGTGTTCTCACTGCTCCCGCAAATCCTGTATCAGTTTTTGAGTAGCTTCCTCACGCTCATGATATTCCTGTATAAACCTTTGGTTTGCCTCCTCTCTCTCCCTATCACGCTCATACAGAGTCCTTTGTATGTTTTCAATCTTTTCATTTACCATGTTTGCCAGCAGTGTTTATAGAGCTATTTGGGAACTCTCCTCTGGATTATTCATTATCTGTTCTGTCCCCTGATTATCATGAGTGGGAGTTGAGATACCCGGACTTGCCATTTTCCTTGTGTTTTTCTGGCTTACTCTGCCCATTTGGGATGAAAATAACACCAGTTTTGCGCTAGAACACTATCCTAAGGCAAGCATCAACCAAAGTCTGTATTTGCACAGTCAATAGTCTGCAGATACAGTCTAGTTCGACAGATACATCTATTCAACATCAAACAACTATATATTAATGGGCTACGAAGAATGGGCAAAGAAGAATTTGGCAAACCAGAAATTATTAGGTTTAGGGAGAGGTGTGGGTAAAAATAGGAGTAGAGAAATATGGGAAGGCACAGGGAGAGTTAACTAAGTCCTACTCTCAAAGCAGGAAATACGTTGGATAGGATGAAAGAAGAGAGAGAGGGAAAAAAAAGAAGAAAGAGAAAGGGGGAAAAAAGAGACCCAAAAAAATAGACAAGTAAAAATTAAAAATTAAACATAGCAATGCTTAAAAATTATACATATTTGAAAATGAAATATTCAGAGATGATTGTGGATATAATGAGAAAAGGGGAGGGATATAAAGGAGATGTGAAAAACTTAAAAATAAAACTACTTAAAATATTGTATAAGTATAAAGAGGTAGTACGGCTATTAAGAAATTTAAGTCTAAGAGGTTTTGAATTGAGTAATAAATTTCTGGATTAAGTGTGTACCTCCCCCACAGCATAACCCGTGCTTTCACTGTATTTGATGTCGGTATAATTTGTGGAGGGGAAGGGGAAAACCAAGTCGTTTAAATAGGGATATAGGTGGACCCATCGCAACAATGAGAAGTACAAGTCGTTATGTCAAAAACGAACTTTACAACTTTGGTGGGGGGGGCAGGGAGGATTGGGGGGGGCAGGGGGAGGATGGGAAGGGATGGGAAGGGGAAACAAAGGAGGAGGCTACAATGCTTGATAAGAAATGTACTCATTATCTTGCCCATGTAATTGTAACCCCTCTGTACAGTATTTTCACAATAAAAAAAAAGAGAGAGAGGATGAGTATGCTGCTGCCAGCTGTGGGAGTGAGATTTGGGAATGGGGCCCTGGAGGTGGGGCAAGGCAAGTACTTCCCATGGTGGAGCTGAATTGATTGTGCCACACTCCTGGTTCCCTTAGTTCTTCCCCACCGGCCTGGGAGGTGGAGCATTGTCATTGGTATACTAGCTTTGGGAAATTTAAAAAGATTGAGTCTATAGTAGTATAAAATAATAAGAACAAGTGCATCACATCATTTGTCATAGGCCGGGATTCTACCTGCAGCCCTTACACAGTGGTCACTTCCTCAGAGCAGGCAGGGAGCCAGGCATTGTGACATCAGAATAGAGGGCAGGATTGGCGCCATGGTCAGCAGGATCAGTAGCATGGTCCTGGCGGTGGTGGCAGACACCGTGTTGGAGGGTTTCCTCAGGTGCTTCTGCTGGGTGGCCGAAAACTCTGGCAGGAAACTCTGGCCTCCATGTCCTGTGAAAAAGCCCGCACATGACTCTTAAGTTGGGCTGAAGCCAGTCTTCTTGGCCTACATGTGTGAACAATACCAATGAGTATAAATTACCATCCTCAGAGCTGACTGTGACATCTTGAGCTAGGTAGACAATAGCACCAAGGAGAGGTAGCAGACTGGGCAGGGCGCACCTAGGAATCTATAGAAGGACGCCAAGGGTTTCCCTCCCCTGCCAGGATTCCCCTTGGTGGAGGCGCTTCCTGTCCACTTCCCTGTGGCTTGAAAAGTGAAGGCCTCCCATCTCCATATGTCTCCACACCAACAAACTCCACATCCAAGCTTCAGCCCCTCTCTAACTACTCTCCACATGCTCCATGGCCCCAGAATAATCTCAGCCCTAGGAGCTCAGTAGCACTCATTTCCTGCCAGTAGCCTGATCCTGAGTGCCCTTTCCACTTCTTCCTCAGTGAACATGGTGCAGAAATCACTACCTCTCCATGTCCTCACCCCTCAACGAATGAGCCCAGAGATTGGCCTCAAATCCTGTTGGACATTGAACAAACAGCCCATTCTTTTCAGCGTCCCACCTTTCACCCATCCTCTCATTAGCACACAAACATTGTGGCAGGCGGCAGAGTTGAATTCACCATCTCGCTCCAATGCATGCATTTGAGGACATACATGGATGAACAGAGAGGTGTGCCACTGTGTCTTTGTGGATGAATGTGTATCCGTGTTGTGTCCATGAATGTATGTGAGGTCATGTGTGTACCTCTCAATAGGTGTGTTGAACATTGGAGTCTCATGCGTAGGCTTCCAGATAGAGAAGACCTCATCTGTGTCTACACTTGTGAAATTCCCACCCCCATGTGAAGCTCAGATCTTGCATTTCCTTTTTGTTTCTTTTGTTCATTGTTGTCTTACATGGATTGAAGCAGAATCTCTTGCCTAGCTCAGACTAGCCTTGAACTTAGTATCCTCCTCCAGGAGGCTCCCACTGCAGGAATAAGTGGCCTAGACAAGGACAACTGGTTGGCAGTTTATTCTCTGTCTGAAAGCCAGGCTGACCCACTTCTTCCACCTAGCCAAGGAGAAGCATCTGCAGTTCAACCAGAGGCCTCAAAGCCCACTGCAGGGAACAGCTCAGGGCCAGAGCTAGAGGCTGCAGGAGAGGAAAGATGGGAGTCTACTCTCCTTATACCTGGGGAGCAAGTGGAATCTTGCCCGCTTGCTGGAGAGGCTGGCTGCCTTGAGCCTGTTGCTGAGCAGCCAGAGCCACCCGCACAGGAGCCTCTGCCGCCCAACCCGGATGTAGCACCCGTCCCATCTGCACAGCTGGACGCTGACGCAGGCTTAGGAGGGGACTCTGATCCAGTTACTCATTTGCACGAAGTAGCTGATCTCCATGAAGTAGCTGAAGACACCAATGGTGTTCTGACAAATGGTGTTGCCAAGCAAGAGCCTGCTTGCAAGGAAGACAGGCCAGCTGAATCAGATAGTGACTCAGATCCCTGGCAGTGTTTTGACATGGGGGATGTGCAGATTTCCTCCAGGGAGTCAGACCATAAAAAGGAAACAGCTCACATGCTAGAGCGGTTGCCCGACCTGAAGGTGAAGCAGTTGTCCCTCATGGCGGTGGTGAGTAGCTTGGCAGGGCGGGCATGCGGGCTTTCCTTTGCACCTCTACTGCCACACCTGCCTCAGGGCAGAGTCACGCTGACCCTTTGTTTCCTCTCTGCAGAAGCTGTTCAAAGGGCTGATCCCTGAGCAATGCTTGAGCTATATATATTATCAACCGGACCAGGAGGAGGGTCTGGAGCACCTGGCACCCACTGTGCTGGCCATCCTGGAGCACTGTGAAAAATTGCACACCTGTGTGATCAGCACATGCCTCGGGGACCACAGCACAGAGGCAGCAGAGAGGGCCCAGGTGTTGGAGCACTGGATAGACGTAGCTTTGGTATGCGCAGGAGGCGGCCCCATACCCTTCTGCTCTTTCCCACACTCACCAGGTGCTGCCTGCCCACTCACAGCCACTGCCTGAACCCTCAAGCCCTCCTTGTGCTCTGCCCTGGCTTGCACTGTGTGCACTCCTGCTCTGCTTCCACTGCCATTCCACCCTCTCCCCTATGCTCTCCGCATTCAGCCCAGGAACAAAGGCTCAGCCCCAGGGCCAAAGCAGGATCACAAGGAGCTCCCTCCACAGCTCACCTCACCCCTTCCTCACCCGTAGGAGTGCCACCTTCTGAAGAACAGCTGCACCCTCGTCTCCATCACGTGTGCTCTGCAGAGCAGCCAGCTCCAAGGCCTGAAGAAGACGTGGGGGTTGGTTGGCAGGTGGGTGCACCTTTCTCCTGGGCAACCCTTGCTTCCTCGGCCTAGCGTCCCTCATCTGGGAGCCCAGTGGCAATTCCCCATGGCAGGGACTGCGGCTCTGCCCAACTCAGACACCTATGACCTTGCTTAGGATTTGCCTGTGTGGTTGGGATTCCTTTTGTGCCATACTTTTTCCTTCGGACACAACAAACCCACATCTGTCTATGCAGTGCTCTTCCAAACAAAACCACACTGGAAATTGGGGTGAAACTGGAGGTTTCCCCTCAAGACTTGGCTCCAAACCATGTGACCTTAGGATCACAGTGGATCTCCTTGCACAGCTCTGTTCCCATTAGGATGAAGTCCTGCCCCCAAATGGGCAATGCATTCACACTCCTCCCCTCTCTCGCCCTCTCCCATCTGTCACCTTGTCTCTGCCCCTCCTCCAGGGAGAGTCTAAAGACGTTCCAGGAGCTGAAGAAGATGTATTGCCACGAGCAGGTGTACAAGGTGGTATGAGCCCCGGAATAACTTTTGGTCCAGGGAGGGAGGGCGAGGATTTGCTTTCTGATGGAATTCTAGGAGAGTATCCAACAGAGCTTGTCTAGAAGCATCCATCATGGGCTTGGGGATAGGATAGATTGTATGGGGAACAGGAGGCCCCTGGGGACCCAATGGAGTGAGTGGAAGAGGAGGCAAGCTGGGTGCCTGAGGAGGTTGGAGGAAGTGGTAGGATTGGGGATGTCCACTTTCCTGTCAAGCTTCCTCCTGAGTGTGGCCTGTGATGAGGCTGCCTCTCTACAACCTGCCTGCCTGGCACCGCCAAGCCAGGCCCTGGCTTGGTTTCTGTGTGGCCTTCCCATCCCAGGAGGGAAGCCTTGCCAGTCACGTGGGTCAGCGGGTTCCTCCAGACCAGGCAGCCACAGAAACATCTTTTAGGGCACGCAAATGTCCACATCCACCCTGGAGACAGGCCCTGCCAGGCTCTCTAGCCTGCCCAGGGCTACAGTGCTGATGGTCACAAGGAGCCTGAGATCTAAAGGCCCAAGCCAAAGCTGTCACACCCCATGGAAAGAAGGGACTCTGGAAGATTGAATGGTTAGAGAATGAAAGCTTTTTACTCCCATGCTCAATGCTGCCAGAGGCAAGAGACCAAACACATGACCCTCTGGAAGAAACTCAAGAGAGGCCTCAGGAAGCCTCAGCAACTGGTGAGTAGTGTGCGAGCCTGAGACCAGGGGCTTCCTAGAAGGAGTTGAGGGGCTTCCCCCAACACAACCGACCAGTTGGCCCACTCCCTTATTGCCCCAGATGGCATGTTGCAGGAATGCATTGCAGCCACCACAGTAAGGAATGCAAGAGCACAGGATCAGGTGAAGGGCAGGGCCACAGACCTTGCATGGGTGTCAAGTGTCAGCCCTGGAGGGGACCAGGCCAGATGGATTTCCCCACTCAGGCCTGTGTCTTTGGTATGGGGTAGAGGGTGGACCATTGAGGAGTGAACCTGTCTGTCTTCTCCAAGTTCTGCTAGGCAGATGGCTTCACGGGGCTGGGTTAAGTCTGGGTTTCTTGGGAGAAGCTTAAGAAGACCCTTCTGATCTTTTTCCACCCAATGCCACAGGAGTATCCCGAGGGCACAGTCCCTTACCTGGGCACCATCCTCACTCACCTGGCCTCACTGCACAAAGACAAACATTCAAAAGATGTGAGTGAACAGGGGCCCAGCCCTGGGAAAGCAGAGTGGGGACAAAGAGCCTCATGCTGCCCCTTGACCTCCAGCAAGAGCCCGTGTCCTCCCCAGCCCCAGAGTCCCACAGCAATGCTACTTCTGATGCCCTATGCCCCCAGACCTCAGTGCTGCTGATGACATTTGGCCATGTCTCAGAGGGAGGTCAGTGAGGGTGGCAGTGTGACAGCAGGTGCTCAAGCTGACATAGCATGTGGGAATAGCATGGCCTTGTCACTAGAAGCCTCAAGTCTCTGCCATGTGCACAGAGAGTTGAGCAGTGAGCTCCCTGTCCTCAGGACCTAGGCCTCCCTGCCCTAAACTGAGAGCAATCCTAGTCCAGCTGTGCACCCAGCCTGCCCTCTGCTGGAAGGACTTAGTAGGGCGCCAAGTGGAAACAGCATTTTCTTAGCACATATTCTTTGCTTTGCAGGGCTCCTGGCTGAACGTAAAAAGAAGACGAGAGGTGAGAAAATGACACCTTCCTCTGCAGGCAGCCAGCTGTGCGGGTCCCTTAGGTCCTTCCTTCCCTCTGATGTGGATGGTCACATCGCTTGTCCTCCAGAGGTCAGGAGATGGGGCCTTGAGCTGGGGATCTAGGACAGCGTGCTGGGGTTGGGCACTGGATCTCAGTAGAGAAAGGCGAGTGTGTTGGGGAGAGACAAGAGTGAAGCCAAGTGAAGACCCGAAGTCAGCTGCCTGGCCTACCTTGCCCTGGTCCAGGTCCATCACCACTGTGTCCTTTCTCTCAACCAGGAATTCAAGGTGATGGCACTAATGAAGGAACTACAGGGCTCATGTCAGGAGCTCCAGGTGGTTCCTGACATGAACTTCGTATCTTGGTTTAACAACATGAACCGCCTAAATGAGTTGGAAAGGTGAGCTGGGGTAGGCAGTGGGGGCAACAAACATGGGAATCCCCAGCACCAGTCCATGAGAGCCTGTTGTCTGAGTCAGCCTCCCACCAGACCTGTTGAAGGAAGGGTGTATGAGCTCCTGAGTCCCCAGGGCCCCTGGAAGGGAACCCCCAGGGTGGAGCCTGCTGTCCAACCAGCTACTTCTTGTCTTAGCTCCAAGCTATCCAGGGAGCTGGAGCCTCCCCGCCGGGTACTTGTCCTGAGCAGGAACAACAAGAGGAGCCCTCCCCTGAGGAAGCGCTCAGGAAAGTAAGTACATAGGCTTGCAGGGCCAGGGACTCCCCAGGGACTGGGTGGTGGGACAGGCAGCCCAATGAGCTGGGGCTGCCCTCCCACCTCCTGCCATACAGCCCCTTGTGTCTGGCTGGTGTGGCCTGAGCTCTGCCCACCTCACTTTCTTCATTGGGGTCCCATGGTGGACCTCACTCAGAAGATTGGGCAAATGGCTACTTGGATGTGAGCAGAATAAGGAAGGCCGCCTCAGGCCTAGGGGCAGTGGGTGTGGACAGCCCTGTGTGCTCAGAGAAGCCCTGGAATTAAGGCAGTCCCTCCATTCAGTTCCCAGGCCTCAAGCAGAGAGCCCAGCAGCAATAGCAGCAGCTCCCAGTTGGAGACCTGTGAGCAGCTCAGCAGTGGGATTGGCAGCCATACACCCAGCGTGCACTGGGGCTGCTCACCCAAGCCTTGTGCACACTTGCACAAGGAGGAGAGAAGATTTGGGCATCTTGCCTTTCCTGAGCCCCCAGATCTCCCGGAGAGCTGGGCATGGGGCTCTATCCTAGGCTGCCCTTTCATCAGCCACAATTTTGGCTGATTTCCAGTAAAAGATTAAATTGAAACACTAATAGTCTGTTTATATAATTTCTCAGCAATAACATGGTTTTTGTGAGTGCTTTTCTTTCTTTGCCTTAGTTAATGGCAGAGACTTCCACATATCCTACTTGAAGATGAAATCTTTTCAGGCTTGGAGGTCATTTTTTGCAGAATGAGGAAGAACAGGTCCCGCTCGGGGCTAGGTTTGGAAGTGTTCTCACGGCCCATTCCACAAGCCTTGAAATCTGAGTGTTGAAACGTCTCCTGTGCAACAGCCTTGATCTTGGCTTCTGTGCAGGCAGGGAATCCACTCTCAATGTGCTGGGAGGGACTGGAGTCACCATGCACAACTGCAGGACCCTGGAGGAAAATCAAAGTGAGGCCACACCAGACCCAGGGCAGTGCTCCAGGGAGGGAGACCCTGAGCTGCAAAAAGAGCTAAACACAGTCACACCAAAATCACAGTTCTTCCAAAGCAAGTACCTGCCTAAATCCCTAAGTACACTGAGGAAGGGAAACATGGAAATGACGTGACATCACAGAACATAATCAGTCAAATGCCAGAGCCCTAGGTAATATAAATCCTCTTCACCCATCATTTCACTGAGATCAAATAATTCTATAGTTGCCCTCCTGGGCACTTATTCCAGTTACTGGAAGAAGACTTGTCAGCTTTGTTCCATTAGACAGTTGAAGATAGCAGCCATGGCAAGAGCATTTCACCTTTATTTTTCCTTCACTATCCCCAAGTTTCAGTGGACAAAATGCCCAGCAGGCCAAGCAGACAAACATGACCAGCAAGGAACTTAGGGGCTGTGCACCTAGAATCCTTCATAGAACATGTCCTGTAGAGGTCACGAGATTGTTACCCAGGTTTTTGTGGTTTTAATTGTTACAGAAATGTTTGTGGTTTATGCACTTGCAAAATAACTGCTAAGGTTCACTTCTCTACACCAGCTTGCTTGCACCTACTCTTAACAGAATGCATGTTTTGCCTTTATAAACATTGAGCTACCTGAGTTTGGGGCTGCTCACTCCCAAGTTGAGTTAGCACCAGTCTGTCCACCCAATAAACTCCAGCTTTTAAAGATAGTGTTCAGCATCACTGAGTTTGCCCAGCGGGTCAGTCCACCTCCACCTGACCCCCTTTGTGTTTAAAACCGTGTGAAAACAAGAGCCCCAGAATTGATTCCCCAGGCTGGAGTCAAAACTGCAATTCTCTCAATCTCTGACATCTTAGTGAAGTAGGGATGCTGGGTCTAACCAGTGCCATCATGGCCACATAGTGGATAGCATACTGGGTTTAACTGGGGCCATCTTGACTTCCAGGTGAAGGAAGAGGAATTCCCACTCCCCCCCCCCCCCCAGGTGCTGGGCATGCCTGAATTGGGAGAGGCAGGGGTAGGGACTTGGATGATGTGTTACTGGACCGTGCTCTGAACTTTCCTGTGCCCTGTCCCCTGACGTGACACTATTTTAGGGCAGACAGCTCAGAAGCCTTTAAGCCAGGCCTCGTGTGCTGTGTCCACATCCTGACTCTCCTCTGATCAACATGGCCTCCATTGTGGTTCATATGGGTTGTTGGTATGGTTTTTCTGCTCTTTATTTCTTCTCTGGTCTCCCGACTTAGTTTTCTAACAGTGTGAAGTGTATTCACAGGACTGCAAGTCTTTGTGACAGGAGTCTGCCTGCAGATGCCAACTTTTTAATGAAGACTCCCAATTTGGCCTCTCAAAATGTGGCTTCTCTGCATCTTGCCAAGTGGTTTCACTTTACAACATTAGTCCCTCCTCTTACCTGATCAAGGAACACATCCTCCCTCTGTCATTTCTTTCCAAAAAGATACTGGTAGGAAAGAAACTCATTTAAGTTCTGCCTGTATCCTCATTGCAGACAGTGTCTTGTTATGAGTGTCGATGTATGCAAATTGTCCACAAGAGCTAAAATGACCTAGTGTTTAAAGGGGAAAGCAATCAAATCACAAGAAAGACAAATTCTGACCAGTCTTTGATTCTGCACCACTGCAATTATGTTTATTAAGACAGTGTCATCTAGACCCTTACCTACCAATGAACCATTCTTGAGTTACAGATATTCAGGTCATACTTCATTTTTGATTGAGAGTCTAGGTGTAGGAGAAAAGAGTTCCTCAACTCCACATATTAGTTTGCTCATGAGAGGAATTGATTTGACTTAAGACCCTTTTCCTCTTGCAAAAGTATGTGAAAATACATAGCATATAAAGCCACCGGCTTTTGGTTTGAATTGTTTGCTGTGGGAGATAAGAAGTAGCATTCCCTTCATAGTCTTATCTGTAGAAATTAAAGATCCAGGAGATATTGGCAAATAAAGGGGAAAACATGTAGCAAAGCCTTCTGATTAAGGAGACCACAACCAGGCCAGGATGCCAACATGGCTGTATCTTCATCTAGGTATCTGTTGAGAAGCTACTGTGGGTCATGATCTCTACCAAGTCCTTTATACCTTCCCTAAAGTCTTCCCTACAGTCTGGTGAAGTGGACATTGGTATTCCATCTTGCTAAGGAGAAAGTTGTGCCTGTGCCAGCTCACACAGGTTGCCATGAGCTGAAGTGTTTTGGCAGGAGATGGCAGTTTTCAGGCCCAGGAGGCCAGTGTTGCAAAGGCTGAGGGTCTTACTATAAACTGGCATATAGCATCCTGAAGCCCTGAGGATCTCAGCTCTCCACAGTATCCTTGTTCTCACATTATGAGTAAATCATTATAAGATGCATGCACAATGAGCCAGATTAACATAACAGAAACTCAAGCATGTAGTGAAACGTTTTGTTTGTTTCAGGGTTTTTTTTGTGTGTGTATGTTGGTCCTGAGGCTTGAACTCAGGGCCTATGTGCTTTTAGGCCTTAGCTTTTAGGCTCAAGGCTAGTGCTCTACCACGTGAAATGCTCAAGTTCCAGCTTCCTTGGTGGCTAACTGGCGGCAAGTCTCACCTCATCCTGCTCAGGCTGGCTGGAAACCAAACTCAGCCTCCTGAGATGCTAGCGTTACAGGTGTGAGCCACTGGCACCAGGCTCAAACTAAATTTGAGTAGCACCGTCTCCTATTTCATTGGAAGATTCCAAACTAAATGGGACTGATCTGAAGGAAAGTTAGTGACATGAAATCTCATCCTGTTCAAGCATAGCATCTAATGTAACCTTGCTAAATAGTAAGCCATCACTGGAGAATAGATGAACACATGAAGCCATCCATCTGACATACAAATTATTTTATTATTTCTTCAAAATTAATCAAATTAGGATATGAAATAGAAATTGAACACATTCATGTAATCGCATGTACCCAGGCAGCAATTTAAAACCAGTGACTGAGGGGTTAGAGAACCTGAAGGATCCCTCACTTTCAGAGGAGCCTGGAAAAAAAATTTAGTGAGACCCTGTCTTCAAGAAGCTTGGTAGTGTTGAGTAGGGTATTTGATCCCTGCTCTGTGGGTAGAATGTACTCTTGGCCTCCTGGGTAGCTAGGATTGCAGGCATGGGCCACGAGCCCACACTCCAAATCACACAAAAGGGGACTTTGCACACCAGTTTTAATGGACAGCCCTGGCAACAGCTTGTCTCTGGGAAGCAGAGCTGGGCCTCAGGCTTTCCTCAGACTCTTCTTGATGAAGTAGCTCACCAGTCTTTGTGGCCTCTGTTGGTACTCAGCAAGCACTTCGTGGGGGCTGCTGATCTGGTCCCCCTGCAGGTGGTCCAGGAGGGTGACACACACCACAGCAGCTGCCAGAAGCAAAGGCCATGTCAACACCAAGTCCCAGATCCCTAGCTTCATTCACATGAATCAGACAGAGCAGGGAGCTGTGAGCCTCAGCCTGAGTGTCCCCTAGGGAAGTCTTCTGTGCTCACACTAACCCAGCAGAAGATGGGTGGATGAAGCAGGCAGGGAAAGGCACTCCAGCCAGCTCAGGAACGCTAGAAGCTCTGCCCTTGCACAAATCACCTTGCCCTATGTCTTACCCATCGCTTTCCTTCGTTCCAAAAGAAAAGTCCTACTAGGCCAGATGCAATGGCTTATGCCTATAATCCTAGCCACCTGGGAGATGGACATGAGGATAAAACTGGTGCAAAGCCAATGGAGTAAATGACAAGATCCTATCTCAACAAACAGGTTGTGGTGTTTCGCTGGGATAATCACAGTTAAAAGAAAGATGGAAGATTACAATGCAAATTGGCCTGGAAAAACAACTCCAGACCCTATCTGAGATATATGTAAAACAATAAAAAGGACTGGAAGCATGGCTCACTTGGTAGATCACCTTCTTGGCAAAGGAAGGCATGAAACTGTGATTTTACACCCTAGTCCACCCCCAAAAAAGGAACAAATTTCCAAGTTGATTCCAGGGCCAGCTCCCAGCTGTCCTGAACAGCCTGGAAGGCTACAGGTTGCTAAAGTGATTTGATGCAGGAGGGACAGCTGCATTGAAGACCTCCACATTCAAAAGGCCAGAGAGCATTTAAAGCCAAGGCTCAAGGAACCTTATTAGCCAGCAAGCCTGTATCTGAGCTTATGGATCTTCTTCAGGACTCACCTTCTCTGTACTATGGGAAGTCTTTGTCCTGTCACAATCACAGGACGTTGTCCACAAGGGCTCGGTCAGATACTGACTTGTAAGTCAAAGTCGATAAGAGCCAGAAACATCTTGGGCTGGGGCAGGGGGAGGGACCCTGGATTTCAGGATTGCCCTGCAGAGCAGAGATGGCAGAAGGAGGCCCCGAGGCTATCCTGTGCCCACTTACCTCAGAGGCCACACATACTGCACATGGCTGCAAACACTGAAGATTCCATCTCGATGTTTCGAATGCCAGCAGCATGGGCAGCTCGAAGATAGGCCTGCTTGTCCTTTTCTGTGTAGGAGCAGAGGGCACCATCCAGGCGGCCTTGCCCTGCAGCACAGACACAGGGACTCTGTATTGTCAGCTGCTACCACATGGTGGTGCTATACTCACACCCAGCATGGAAGCA